TTTTTTTTTAGATAATGTAATCTTGTTAAAATTGATTTCATAAAATTGGTATCGAAAAAAGTATCGTTCAGGAGTCGGTATCGAAGTCAAGGTATCGGTATCGAAAATTTTTTAACGATACCCAGCCCTAGTTAAGTGGGATTATACGAGCCTGTTTAAATGTTGAGGGAAAACACCAGTGTGAAGGGATGTGTTAATGATGTGAGTGAGTGCAGGTACAACGGCAAGAGAAATGGCTTGAAGTAGGCTGGGCGATAAAATGGTATCGGTATTTTTTGACAGTACACGTTCATCAATAACGATAGAAAAAAATGTTCGATATAGCACATGATATAGGCGTGTGCTATGAGTGACAAGCAGACAGCACACACGAACACATGCTGAGTGCTGTGCCTGCCTGTGATGAGGAGAGTGTGAATAAAAAATGAATATTAAGTCAAATTTAAAATAAATATTTGCATTTGAATGCAAAAATGGTGCAATTGAATGTTAGGCGTGCGTCAGTGAGGGAGCCTCATCAGAGGCGCACAAGATGCGGTGATGATGATGTAAGTGTCTTTGTCGTACTTTGTTTTTGTTAGTCTATACAGTTGAACCCACAAGATGCACCGCTGCTGTGTTATTCATTCAAAATATTAGAGAAATTTAGAAGCTCAATGCGGAGAAGTTATTGGTTAGGTTAAAACCGAAACCAAGCCATTCACAAAGAACGCATATTAGCCACATTTTTGGGACAGACAACTATGACTGTTGCACGCTCGCGTCTCACGCAAGAGATGTATAGAAAGCCATGCAAAGTTAAAAGAGTTTAAACTTTTAGAAAACACGTTGCGAATTTGTGGAGGTTTATTCCTTTCACTGCGTCTCATGTTTTTAAATGCAATCTGTGTGATTGGCACTTCGGCTATTTGAATTAAGCTATGTATAAATACATGATGCTATTTTGTTCATAATTGTTTATGCAATTTACGAAATTATATTTGATTTATATATGTTAATTTAGACGTTGTGCACATTTGGATATTGTGGATATTTAATCTGCATATAAAGCAAAAGAACTTAGATATTTGTTTAAATTTTATTTTGTGTTTGACTGTTAAAACAAAAAAATATTTGTTGTTCGTCTTAAATTGGGTAATTAAAAATTCTATTGCTCTGTTTTTAAAAAAGGTTATAAAAAATGTCAATAATTATCGATACCAAACGATATGAAACATTATATCATTGATACATTTTTTTTAGCTATATCGCCCAGCCCTAGCTTGAAGGAGATGAGATGGAATAGGATCAAGCGGACAAGTAGTAGTATGATTGGAAAGGATTAGTTTAGAGACTTCTGCCTCAGAGAGTGGAGAGAAGGATGAAAACGAGTGTATGTTTTATATATATATATATATTCAGTATTTGGTGTGAGTTAGCGTTAGTCTATAGTATTTATAATTTGTTGAATATAAAAACAGTAGAAGCTTGTGGAATGTCCCCATTTAGCTGAGTGAACGTTTGTGTGTGTCTGCATGTATTTTATTCTCGTAAAATGAATCTGATGTCAAGCTGGATTCCAGATTCTTGTCTCTAGTTTCTATGGCAACAGGTTGAAGGTGTTTTCTGAGACGGTGGCAGACCGCTGTGTGTGTGTTTCATAAACTCAGGCCTTCACACACAGTAAATGGAAATGTGTGTGTGTGTGTGTGTGTGTGTGTGTGTTTGTAGGCCCGACACACAGAAGGTTCCGTCCCCTCCTCCTCCTCCTCCTCCTCCTCCGCCCCCCCCTCCCGAGCCTGTGGCCCCGCCGGAGCCAGAGGAGGAGATTCTGGGCTCTGATGATGAAGAGCAGGAGGATCCAGCCGACTACTGCAAAGGTACCGCACCCGTCTGTCTGTCTGTCAGGAGAGCTTCCAGGTTTCTGTCCATGTTGAGTAAAAGCTGGACTGACACTGACCTGATTTATGCCTCGTTCTTCACAGGTGCATGAGTTTCCAGCCTCAAGTCATTTTTCTGTCATCACTGAAAGTGAAATGTTAATTCTTGTAGTTTTAATAGCAGAAACAGTTCTCAGTAGTAGTTTGGTCTTCTCCTCTTGAGTGGAAATCTAGTTATGCCAGTAGTACTCTTGGCTATATTCACATCAATGACACAAACATACCACAGTAAAATATACAAGAAAAAAACAACAACGTGAAAGAAACTGTGGAATCAAACTCAAAGGAATCAAGTGTTAAAACAGACTTTAATAAACGTGAGTGCTGGTCCGAGGACACCAGCCGTACAGTTGAGCTGAAGGAAACATTAGCCGGATTCTCCTGTTTCTACAAGTACCATCAGTCGACTGTATCGTGTTTCTCTCGTGCTGCAGGAGGTTACCATCCCGTGAAGATCGGAGACCTGTTTAACGGCAGATACCATGTCGTCCGCAAGCTGGGCTGGGGTCACTTCTCCACCGTCTGGCTGTGCTGGGATATTCAGTGAGTGACCGCGTCACCAGTGCAGGCAGTGTGTGTGTGTTACTCGGTGTGAGTATAACCTGTGTGTTTGTGTGTGTTAACAGAGCGAAGCGTTTTGTTGCGATGAAGGTCGTAAAGAGTGCACAGCACTACACAGAGACGGCACTGGATGAAATAAAATT